TGTCAAAACCCTGTCACTGTGTCAAAACCCTGTCACTGTGTCAAAACTCCCTTCATAATAACAGAGTGTACCTATAACAAATGGATGACAGCAGTTCAAGGCAGTAATTGACCACTACCATCGGGAACAATTAGGGATGTGCAATAAATGCTGGTTTTGTACACCTCTCATGAAAGATTAAAAACAATTGTGAAGGATCTGGTGCTGACGACTGTATTAAAAAAAGAACCAAGTCAGATGTTGAGCTTTAGTGTAATGAATGAGGTTAAAGATGAATTTGGAACTGCCAGAGTGTCTCAATGGGTAGGTCAAGGCTTTCAGGACCTTCTGATGCCTCCAAAATCAGAGGTAGTCTGAGGAAGTGATGAGTGAACATCACTGATCAATGTTCAGCTGGTGAGCGCCACAAGAAGAAATAAAATCAAAGCCAGAGAAAGCAGGCAAGACTTAATAGGATGATGAGAACTGTGAAAAGCAAAAAGCAAAAGCAAAAACTGTGGTTATTTCTGTGAGAGCAGGGAAAGCTGTTGAATTTTAAAACTTCTAACTCTTCAAGTAAAAAAATTATACAGCCACTTTGATAAAGATAAAATGCGCTACAGCATTTCGCCTTACAGGAGGCAGTCATGAAGACATTGAGGGTTGATTAGGAGGGGTGCACCAAAAACTAGGCCAAAGACTTGGTTTTAAGGAAGGTCTTAAAGGAGGAGAAAACAAACACCACAAGCTTCAGAGAAAGAATTTACAGAATGGAAACAAAGCAGCTGAAGGCGGCACAAAAATGGGATGAAAAGATGGATGATGCATATCAGAAGAACAATGAGTTGTAGGACAAGAGGAAGAAGTTACAGAGTGGAGTGAAATCACAGAGGCACTTAAACACAAGGATGGGAGAGAACATTAATACTAAATGGTCAATTGGGAAGGACAATTTGTTAGAATGTGGCAAATTGACATTATTTGTGATATCCCTATGACATGAAGAGCAAAATAGTTGGTGTCTTCAGGAGGAAAGTGCAACATCAATTGGAGAAAAATACATGTTTAGAAGTACTAAAAACTTTGTTTTCTACAAGTGGTCAAAAATCAACTCAGGTTTCACGATAGGTGGTGTGTTCAGTCAGACAAGCAAAAGGAGACTACATTGACCAGTTATAAAACTGTCTAAGTATTCTCGTTATATTATTTAATGCTATCTAGTGATGATATCTGTATTATGCAAGCCAATCCAAACTTAATTGGCAAAAAAGTTGCCATTTAAAATCTTTTGTGTCCATTTTTTCTCCCTTCCAAGGCCGATGTATAATTCCACGTCTAGGACAGCAACACGCTGATGCGTGTCCAGGTTTCTGACAATATTCTGGAAATCATTCAGGAAGGTCATCTTCTGAATGATCAACAGCCGAATATACAACATTGATAATTTCCTCATTCACAGGGCATAGACATCTCTGGCAAGGTCAGCATTTAATGACCATTCATCATCATGCTTGAGATGGTGATCATAAGCCATTTTCTTGGACCATTGCAGAAGCAGTTTTTGGTACAATAGTGTGACTTGCTAAGCCAGTCGATGGTTTGTTGTCACCAACAATGATATTAATCTTTTAATCCAGATTTAAATGAAATGAATTCAAGCTACCCAGCTGCCAAAATGGGCTTCAAAATCCTCTCTCACAACTATTAACCAATGTCTCTCGATTACCCATTTACAACACAACCACTGCGCTCCCAATTAATTCTGAATGTTACAACTTCATACCCTGAGTTGGATTTAACATTCCCCCCATTGGTAGGTTTAATGGCATTGAGGCATCTAAAATCCAGGGAGAGACAACCTTATTGCCCACATGCCCACCCTTACCCTCAGCATCATTTTACCAGCAGTGGGGTGCATGAGAAGGACTGAAAGCCAGCCAAGCCTGAGGTCAATTGAGACCTAAGTGTTCCCCAAACCATAACAGATTTGTGTCTAATCGGACCTGTATACCTCGCTCACCCGACCTATCCACCTTGATGTACCTGACACTTTATCATGGTAAGACGACCATGCTAACTTCCACTCCCAGCATCCTGTAGGTCTCACTGGGGTACTGGCAGTTACTATTATCTGTTTGGAACTGCTGACACTGGAGGGCTGTCAGTATCCAATTGTTTTGCAGCTCTGAGGTAGAACGTCCTTTCTTCTGAAGCACCCAAGTCCCACTTCAGGTCAATTAACCATTATATATGTGAAGCAGCCATCCAGTGTGGGGATGGATTATCCCTGACTATTTAGCTAGGGGTAAAGGCCACAGAGGAACCACAGTTCTCCAGTAATATGAATGGAAAACTTAAATGGTGATCTAATTTTTACCTTTTCTAAATTAAACGTGCTGCTAAGGGTTCAGTTGGTTTCCTGTAAAAGGTTTTACCTGTTCAATGACATAGAAGCCAAACTGCACGTGTTGACGTTGAAGCATCGGAATCAAATGCCGAAACAGAATTGGGAGATGCTCATGCCTGTTGCGGAATGGAATAAGGATTGCCACCTGTAAAGTATAAATGATCTTGTCATTGTTATCTTGCATTCAAAGAAGTATTGTCCTAAAATGCTGCGGTTCTCTGACCAATTGGAAGAATTGTGAAAGTCAATTTAATATGGTTAGGTGTTCAATATATTTTCTCATTAGATTCATCTAGAGCTCCCATTGCCTCCAATAATTATCATTTGTGCTAAAGATCCTTTCCCTTCAAACTGAGTGGATGGTTAGCTCAGTTAGCTGGGTAGCTGTTTGCAATGCAAAGTGATGCCACACTCAATTCCCACACCAGCTGAGGTCACCATAAAGGATTTACTTAATCAACTACTACTCTCTCGCCAGATTATACCACCAGTCATATCTTTTAATGAGAGAGCAGCCCCACGGTCAGGTAGGACTATGGCAACTTTACTTCGTAATGCCAGCATTTCCTCTCAGATACACAGTTTCATAGAAATTTGGCCAATCCAGATTATGTCATTTCCAATGCAAATCAACAGCATTAAGACAATTAACAAAAACAGAGGTTGCTGGAAAAGCTCAGCAGGTCTGGCAGCAACTGTGAAGAAAACAAATCAGAGTTAATGTTTTGGGTCTGGTGACTCTTTCTCAGAATCATCCTGACGAAGAGTTACTGGTCCTGAAACATCAACTGATTTTTTTTCTACAGATGCAGCCAGACCTGCTGAGCTCTTCTAGCAACTTCTGTTTTTGTTCCTGATTTACGTCACCCACAGTTCTTTCAGTTTTTATTTCATAAAGACAATGAATTGGCTATCATTAGGAAAAATGTGTTTTCTGTAATTCCTTCATTTTAAACTGCTTAATTTTCATTCAATTTTTAAAAGCAATCTCTTTGCTGGTTCAGCAGCAAGAAGCCAAATATAGATAATAAAAAGTCTATGGTCAATTCACGACACCATTAAATTCCTTCCAACCTGCTAGGATTTTGAATCACAGTGGTGTGGCTGCACAAGAGGGCAGGGAGTGAACAATGTTTTCACTAGCTTTCCTAGCAATTATTAGATCAGCAGTAATATTGGTTTTCCTTTTAAGCAGATTACTTTACTTTGTATTTTCTGTGAATTAAGACTGTAGATCATTACAATTTAATACCTCACCTTCCAGCGGGGTTTACAATCCTTTGGCTTCCAGTGGCCTCCATATTGGATTTCTAAATCTTGTGAAAATAAACGTTGGATTTCTTCCATGCTGATTTCACTCATGTTGATATCAATAAACCCCTCTGGTTAAATAAAAATTAAAGCAGGGAACATGAGTTTTTTTTTCAGAAACATGGAAGCATTGTGCATCTCAGACCAAAGAAACTTGCGGCTGAAATTTTCTTGATCAGACACTTGATTCTTAAGAGTCACACTTCAATTTGGTATTTATCCAGAAACTATTTTGACAGTTCCTTATCTGATCAGATTTTTCCTATTCCCAACGTATTAATTTGATATTCTCAGCTCATAACTGCAAGTCCATACTCTGCAATCTTCACCTGGCCTATTTCAAATCCCTGGACATTCTCACCCACTGTCTATCTCCCTCATCTCCTCCAGTCCTACAACCCTCCAAGATCAATGCATATGCCCAAATTCTGGCCTCTCGTGCCTCAATTTTAAATCGTGCCACTGTTGATAGTCATGCCAACATCTGACAAGGCTTTGCAACACTAAGTACACCCTTAAACCTCCACCACCCCTCTCCTTTGTCAGTCTTCCCTTCAAACATTCCTCTCTACCAAGCTTTCAGTCACTTATTCCAATATCTCTTTGCATGGTTCGATGCCAAATTTTGGGATAAATCTTGGGACAATTCCATACATTAAAGGCTCGATAGGATTACAGTTGTTGTCATTTAAAATTTTGAGTGTCTGAATTGTGACAGTATGAATGAACACAGAGCAGGATTAGGCCATTCAGCCCCTCCAGTCTGCTCCATTCAATATGATCACAGATGATCAGTTAATAACCTCAAATCCACATTCCAGCTTATCCCTTTGCTTAACATGAATCTATCTACATCAGCCTTAAGAGCATTCAAAGGACTCTCTTCCTGAAAAGGTGTTGATAGCAGATTTCCAAACACTCATTGTATCATCTGCATTAAATGGATAATGCCAATTTTTTAAAAACAATGACTGCTATTTCTAGATTCCCTCCACATCCACCTAGTCAAGACCTCTCAAGATCTTAGATATTTCAATCAAGTCACCTCTTACTCATCTAAACTTCAGCAGATACAGCTTAGCCCATCCAGTTTTTATCTTAGAAGACTCATTCTCTAAACTGTTTCCAAGACTTTAACGTCCTTCCTTAAATAAGGTTATCAATATTGTTCAGCAATACCTACATGCCATGAAAGAATAAAGAAAACAAAAAAGATGAAGTAGCAAATTTATTCATGGACAAGTTTACTTCAAACACGTACTCATAGAAGGCAGTTTTTCTGGACAAGGCAAACCAGGAGAATATGTGAAATCTTCTGGAAGGTATGTTCCACTCTGACCAAGATATTCACTTGAATTGTACCCTTCAAGATAATCTAGAGGTGAAAATGATCAATGGTCAAAAAATTTAACAAAACCTTAACATTGCACTACATCCCATTTATTCAGCATTTTGCTTACAATCATAAATGCCAAGGATAGTTAACAGATTTAAATTTTGTTTTACAAAGAAGATTAAAACAACAGGCACTTGCTGATTTGCACATTAAATGCTTTATTTCCTTACTAGAAGCCTTTGTTCTCACATTTGGTTTGCTTTTGAGGCACCGTGTTTTGCTTATAATTACATACTTGAGCATCTTTACAGCTGAAAACTTTCAATTCTGCCTTCCAAGAATGTTTGCTTTCCATAGCATGCCAGGGCACACAATTTGGAAAACTAACAAAGATAGACATTTCATAAATTTAATCCTGTTGGCTGCTGTGGGCACAGAATGTGAAGACTGGAAGAGAATACTGTTTTTTGAAGTACCCTTTATCTGATCCATTCCAAGACTACCACATCTAACCCCCTCATGAACTTGGCTCACCGGTAGCATTCCTACTTATATCAGAAGGTTGCAGGGAGAAGTCGCAGCCTTGGCTTTGAGTACAGAATCTAGCCTTCAGTGCAGCAAGGAACATTGCCCTTCAGAAATGAAACACTGGTGTTGTTGAATTGTTAAATTTTGTTGTTGCTAAATTATTGCTAAATTCTGATGGGTGCTGTTAAATTCAATCCCTTTCTGTTTCAGAACCACAATACATTTGCGCTCCCATCCATCAGCGTAGCTGTAAGTACTATGGCATGTACTTGCATTTACTTAAATCTATGATATTCAACATTTTAAGAACCTTTGTGGAGAGAGAAACTGAATTAATGTTTCAAATTACTGATCTTTGAAAAGAAGGAACCAGATCTTCTAACATGATGATTAGCATTGCAGCAGTGTAAGGAAGAGTTGCCTATGAGCACCATGTTGAGTCCTGACTCCACTGAAACCGTCCACAAAGTTGAAACTTCTGATCAATTACCTAGTGTCTGGAGCCCTCCAAAAAAGTCTGCAACTTTGAATCAATTTTAATAAGGAGAAAGATCATTGTCCAAGGGGGTGCAAGGTTTTTTTCTGAGTGCTGGATTTAGTTTGCAACAAAGAGTGGAGGTTTGAAGAAAGTCACACTTCTACAGCAATTGAATTTCAGAGCTAGATAGGATTGCAATTTCATCAAGGTAGTGTTAATCATTAACCAGCCAGTTTGGCTTAATAAGGAGACTGGACAGGGAGACAGGTTTGTGCTGAATTTCTTTTCCAGTTAGATCTTTGGAACCCAGGATTACCGATCAGATTTTTATAAAATTAGAAAGGCTTTTGATAGGGCAACAGAGCATCACCAAAGGGGATCATAAATTTTAAAGTCACGACGACTGAGAAGGTTGATTAAAAAATTTTTTTTTTATGTAGAGTTATTGAATTTTGAACTAGTTGAGGAATGAGTCCTTGAATCTTTTAAGGGGAAAAATATGCATAAATCATTGAAAGAGATTCAGATAGATACAGAGCATATGATCCATTATGATTTCTCCAGAAAAAGTGCGAATAAAAATACAATGGACAAAATAGGACAACATAGAACAGTACAGACCCTTCGGACCACAATGTTGTGTCGACCTATTATCCTACTAAGGTCAATCTACCCTGCATACCCTACATTTCACTATCCTCCGTGAGTCGCTTAAAAGTCTCTAAAGTATCTGACTCCACTACCACTGCCGGCAGCGCATTCCACACGCCCACCACTCTCTGTGTGAAGAACCTACCTCTGACATCTCCCCTATACCTTCCTCCAATCACCTTAAAATTATGCCCCCTCGTAATAGTCATTTCCGCCCTGGGAAAAAGTCTCTGACTATCCACTCTATCTATGCCTCTCATCATCTTGTACACCTCTATCAAGTCACCTCTCGTCCTTCTTCACTCCAATGAAAAAAGCCCTAGCTCTGTCAACCTTTCCTCATAAGACCTGCCCTCCAGTCCAGGCAGCATCCTGGTAAATCTCCTCTGCACCCTCTCTAAAGCTTCCACATCTTTCCTGTAATGAGGTGACCAGAACTAAACACAATATTCCAAGTGTGGTCTTACCAGAGTTTTACAAAGCTGCAGCATAACCTCACGGCTCTTAAACTCAATTCCCCCGCCAATGAAAGCCAACACACCATATGTCTTCTTTACAACCCTATCAACTTAGGTTGCAACTTTTGAGGAATCTATGGACATGGACCCCAAGATCCCTCTGTTCCTCCACACTGCTGAGAATCCTGCCATTAACCCTGTATTCTGCATTCAAATTTGACCTTCCATAAATAATCATAGATTATTCTGTGCTCTAAATTCCTATGATTCAATAAACGTGCAAGCTAATGCCAGAATGAGTAAGAGTTTTGGGCAAGTAAAGGAAGTTTTCATACTGCTACATGCTGATAAGCAGCCAAGAATCTGTTGCTTAATATCAAGCTGCAGTCCAGTGCACATGTTGCTGCTCTGAAGCCTTGACATTTCCATGAAGTTCCTAAGGTTTCTGACTGGAGTAAAGCAGTGGTATTATCTATTAATCCAGAACTCCAGGCAATGTTCTGGGGACCCAGATTTGAATCCTGCCATGCAGCTGGTAGAATTTGAATTCAATAAAAATCTGGAATTGAGTCTAATGATGACCACGAAACCAGTATTGGTTGTTGGAAAAACTCTGTTCACTAAGGTCCACGAGGTTAGGAAATCTGCTGTCCTTTCTGTAACGAGGTCAGCCAGGTCCAGCTCACAGAATATGAGCTCCCTGGGTGAACTGGATTAACAGCCCCAGAGACCCCTGGCTGATAGATAAAAAGAGGACCGTCAGACATTCTGACACTGGGTCTAGGGAGGTGGACCAGTGTTGAGGACTCTCCACGTGGATATAAAGGGTGACTTGCTGATGGGATACCAACCTCTGGAGTTATTTCACTTACCTGAACTGGCCTACATGTGACCCCAGACCCACAGCAAATGGGGTTGACTCTGAATTAACCTCTGGGCAATCAGAGATGGAAAATAAATGCTGGTCTAGAGGTTGCAGGAGTCTTGTAGTCAGTTCTGATGTGTTTCTAATATAGGGTATATGCCCTCATTCCATGATGTGGAGGTGCTGGTGTTGATCTGGGATGGACAAAGTCAGAAGTCACACAACATCAGGTTATTTGAAATCACAAGGTTTCGTAGCGCAGCCCCTTCGTCAGGTGAAATGAGAGAGAAGAACACAGACAAACAATTTATAGGCAGTGAGATCAAAAGACCATACAACTAGTGTGGGTGAACTGTTGAATAATAAGTCTCTACAGGTGACCCAGAGTGTTAGACAGTGTGAGTAAAGTGTCAACAGCTGAACAACAAGCGAAGGGATGATCTATAATCCGGATTAATGGAGGAACGAACGAACAGTGGTGCATTCCTTACCAGCATATACAGAAAGCCTACAAACGGAGACCAAATTCTTAATTACAACAGTAACCACCCCCGCGTCCACAAACACAGCTGTGTCAAGACGTTCAAACGATCGATAACTCACTGCAGCAACCCAGAGCTGCAGAAAAACGAAGAGGAACACCTATACAGAGTCTTTGCAAACAATGGTTATCCTAACAGCTTTGTCCGCCAATGCCTGGCAAACAAACAACAGCAAGAAGACACAGTACACCCCAATACACTGGCCACCCTATCCTCTATTAGAAACACATCAGAACTGACTACAAGACTCCTACGACGTCTTGGAATAAGGATAGCACATGAACCAACAGCCACACTTCACCACTTACTCTCAAAGACGAAAGACCCCATACCCACAATGAGCAGGAATCTAATAATGACCATGAATCCATTGTTGATTGTCAGAAAAATCCATCTGGTTCACTAATGTCCTGTAGGGAAGGAAACTGCCATCCTTACCTGGTCTGGCCTACATGTGACTCCAAACCCATAGCAATGTGGTTGACTCTGACCTTCCCTCTGGGTAATTAGGGATGGGCAATAAATGCTGCCGAGTCAGTGATACCCCTCATTCCATTAATGAATGGGAAAAGTGATATATAAAATACCATGCAGCAACTGCGAGAAACACTATATGGGACAGACGGGCAGGAAACCCGCCACCAGGATACATGAACACCAACTTTAAGCAAAACTGCATGACAAACTCTCCCTCATTTCAATACACGCTGAAATAGAGGGACATCAATTTAACTAGGACAAGCAAGATAAAGACAAGGACGAGAATTCCTGAAGGCCTGGTTTTCAACCACTGATGCAATGAACAAACATGTTGAAATAGACCTTATCTACATACCATTACAGTACAAAACTGCCCACCATGACAGACCGGGACAGAACAACAGCGCGTCAATGGAGGCTATACAGCACTGACAATGTCACCTGGAAGGGAGACGAAAGGTTTGCATAAAAACCAGTCAGTTCGGCGAACCAACCGACAACTCCACTCTTGGTCACCTGCAGAGACTTATTATTCAATACTCCACTCACACCATTTGTATGATCTTTTGATCTCTCTGTCTTTAAATTGCGTCTGTGCACTCTTCTCTCTAACTTCACCTAACGAAGGGGCTGCACTCAAAGTTTGTGATTTCACATAAACCTGTTGGATTATAAACTGGTGTCATGTGACTTCTGACACATTCCATGATTAGATTTTCAAAAAGGTTGCTCTGGTGGTGGAGGCATTGCTGGCAAGGCCAGCATTTATCACCCATCCATAACTCCCGTTGAGCAAATAGTGGTGAGCCACTTACAACTTAATGGCTTGCTAGGCCATTTTAGAGGGAAGTTTATAGTTAATCACAGTGCTGTGGGGGTCTGGAATCACAAAGGCCATTACAGGCAGGGACTGTAGATTCTATCCTGGAGACATTGGTGAACCAATGGGTTTTAACACAATCTGGTAGTTTCACGATTAATCATTTTATTCCAGATTTCTTAATCAATTGAAGCTTAAATTCCTCAGATGCTGTAGTAGGATCTTAAACTAATTTTAGCAGAGCATCAGGCCAGACTGGATTTCTTGTCCAGTAGTACTGCCACTCCATTACTGCCTCCATAAATGTGCTCTCCACATCAGGCAAAGAAGAACTTTACTCAAGAGTGAAATTCTCAATAGCTTGGTTTGGAACCTTCTTTCCCCACTGTAACGAGTTGACTGAAACCAACTGTAAGCTGTTGTATACTTACAAGGTCGGGTGTTGGTCAATCAAACGTTCAGAAGCAACATCAGAAAATACCACACAGATGACCACTCAGCACCCTCAATGTAAAAAACGCTAACATTTCAAGTGTAATCTGTTATCTGATCTTACTCGGATCTTATCTGCAAGTGTGAGCATCTTTAAAAAAGATAACGTACTTGAGATTTTATTACAAGTGCACTGAAACATGCAGATTACAGACATCATAAGGACAGGTAGTTAACTTTTTTTGAAGGTGTTCTTATTTACAAACTGACTACTGTCTGTTTTGGAAACTTACTGTGTAATAGGGAAGTGCTTATCTGAATCCACAATGGCAGAGAAATAGCCCTACCCATGACAGAATCACGCTCGCACTCAAATCCAGAGATAGGGTAGCCCCTCTGCCACTATGGATACTAAATAAAGAGCTCACCAATTCACAGAAACCCAGTGTTGCTGCTCACTGACCCAAAAAGTAAGCTCACAAGATGATCACGGCTCAGTGAAAAGTCTCAAAAGCAACTGCCTTGCAACAGCCTGAATCCAGTTTATTGAAGCTGTAAAAGCTCTTGTGCACTGGAGGCTATCCACAGCTCTTAATTAGCAAAGGACCCAGGTTCCAAACTTTCTCTTGCGTATATTTCACTGTGCAAGTTATTTGGATCTCTCAAGTAAGGTTCATTCTTATTTTGCTGCTGCCTGTCGTTTTTGGGAGTTTATATAGGTCTCAAATCAAAAGCTGTTACGATTGCTATTATGAAAAACAAGAAAACAATGATCCCTCTGGCAGATGTTCCAACAATTTAAAAGCTGCATGGAGATCTAAATCAACTTTTTTTTTCCCAGTAAACTGGACTACAATAATAGAGATGGCCCACCTGTGCCATTAAGAGTGTTGTTCCTTTTGGTGTAGCGGTCTCGAATCAAAATGCCTATCGTTCGCACGTTGTCCCTCAACATCTTGCCTTGAGCTTGCATCATGAAGAGGTAGGTATTTGCTGAAAAAAGGATGGCATGGTTAAACCAATTAATGAGTTCTTTTTGGCACCTACATTCAAATAAGTCACAAAGTAGTTTTGCAACAGTAGCCCAATATCTATATTATTTGAAAAAATGATCTGTTTATTGCTTCACTGCAATCTGGGTGATCCATTCTTGATCTTACCCAATGGATCAATATAAAGCTGTTAAAAAATTCAAGGGTTTTGCCCTGATAAATGTTTTGCATTCAATTATTACAAGGATTTCTTTCCAACGAATTGTCCAAGACTCTTATTTTATTTGGCCCAGCCCAGCTGGCACTGATTTTCTAGTAAATACGCAAAGAATTAAGTTATTTATACAAACTCCAATAAACATCATGCCATGCAAAAAACTCCAAACGCAAGACAGAAAAGCAAATGTCAAGAGAAAGTAAACCCATTACAAAAGATATAGGCATCATCTGTGAAAACAGAAAAAGAGAATTATTGGTTCAAATTGATGATTTTTCACGAGTCTATTGTTGGCTGTTCTGCTGAGTATTTTATAATAATTTTAATTCAAAAAGGATTACTGACACCAGGTTATCACCACGGAGGATAGGCCTCAGCACAGGCCACATGAGTATATCCATCTGGCTACGGGGGTTGGGCCATTGTGGTGTCCTTGGAGAAGGAACATTGCCCTCCCCATGCCACCCCCGTCCCCGTCTGTAATCACAAGCTCCCTCTTCTACTCAGCTGTGTTTTGGATTAATCTGGGGCCGTACATTCCAACCAGAAAATTTCAGTCAGCAAATGGAAAGTACCCTTAATGGACAGGCAGCCATCAGCCCCATGTCCCTTAATCCTTCTGCAAATAAAATGGCCCAGAGGCAGCAAACAGGTACATCAGGCGATGGAAAATCGCAGGCCGAATCTTCCCTGGTCTTCACTGCTAAGCTAAATGAAAATTGTATCCTAAGTGGGCTTCTGGCTCTATGCTCACTAGTCATGAGATCTTGAACATACAATGTTAGCCATTCATCTCAGACAGTGACAAGATGTATAGTATCAGTTCAACCCCTGCTCAGTTTTATTTATAGCTGCATGTAATGGAATTGAATGGTAGAAGCTATGTAATTGTCACTAATCTGTTACCACCCATTCTGTACCACCAGCCGTCTAGCCCAGAAGGTCGTGCTTTAATGGTTACTGATTTTGCAATAGAAGTGACAGTGAAGCCAATAAAGCTTAACAGTGAGGCCAAAGCTCACTGTTATTAGAAGTAAATCAGACAGCAACTTCTCGCAACACTATATGCATAGTTAAACATTGTACTGCTGCTTCCTGTTTTCAATGCTCCCTGATCCAAGCCAAAGTGCAACTATAGCATTAACTTGCCAGGCAACTCAGCTTGAAACCTATCGAACAGAATGAGAAGATATCACTCAAGTGATGATAAACGTTAGAGTCAAGTTAAAGTTGAAGCCTTCCATTTTAGATTAAGTAAATACTTAATTGCATGACAAGGCTTAAGTACTGTCAAACAACTTTTCTGGCCCTGAAAATTAACTGCTATATGTGGCTTTTTGTCTAGGTTTTTAATTATTGTTGGAAATTATTCAAATTTTACTCCATCTAAAAGATGAGCTGCAAAAACTCACCATAGCTCCTGTAACAGTATATTCCAAAAGCAGGCTCTCTACCAACTAGAAAGACAAAGGCAGCAGATACATACAGCATCATCTTTACAAATGCCCTTCCAAGACACTCACCATACTATGGCAAAATGTTGTCACTCCTTCATGGTCACTGCATTAAAATCTTGAAACTCCCTCCCCAAGAGCATTATGGGGTCCCTACAGCAAACAGACAGCAACGCTTCAAGGCAGCAGTTCACCACCTCCAGGGAAACTAGGGATGGACAATAAATGTAAGAGCCAGAGATGCCCACATTCATGAATGAATGAAAGACTAGAGTAAACCAAGTGAAACAAACAGCAAATCCAAGCTCAAAATCTTAAGCATAAAAGGGAGACCAAACGCAGACTTAGGGACCAGTTTGCGGAGCATATGCACTCTGCACGCACCAACCAACCCAACCTTCCGGTTGCCATCTACTTTAACTCCCCCTCCCAATCCTTTGGTACTATGTTCATCCCTGGCCTCCTCCACTGTCAGAGTGAGGCCAAACGTAAACTGGAGGAACAACACCTCATTTCGCTTTGGTAGCTTATAGCTCAATGGCCTGAACATTGAAGCTGGTGAAGTCAAAATCTCTCCTCCCCTACCCTGTCCATCTTCTGACTCACCTATCTACTCCACCCTTCCCAGTGACCAACCACAATAACCTCCTACCTGCATCCACCTATGTCCATCTCACCTACCCTCCCCCCAGCCCCACCTCCCTCCCTTGATTTATTTCTGGGCTCCCCTCCCCCTCCCCATTCTTGACAAACGGTTTCAGCCTGAAACGTTGACTTTCCTGCTCCTTGGACGCTGTCTGACTGGCTGTGCTTTTCCAGCTCTACATTTATTGGCTCTAGCTTCCAGCATCTGCAGTCCTTACTGTCTCCAAGATATAAGGAGAACAACCATGTCAGCCATGGCTCAGTTCTAGCACACACACCTCGGAAACACAAGGTCGTGTGTTCAGGTCCCTCACTAGAAGTTTGTTGTATGAAGTATGCAAAGTTCTGAAAGAGTTAGGAGTAAAGAATACGCAATGATGTCATATGGGCTCAGGCAGTAAATAGCTTTGGATCTCAAAGGAGCAAGACCCATCATAGTGGTCTCCCTCAATCTTAGTAACCAATATTGCTTGTGCTTAGTTGCTATCATGCGTTCAGATGATAGCTTCTTCTCACCAAGATTATCAGATGGTTTTTCCCTACCACACCTAACCAAGCAGGCCCTCTAGATCCCTGCCAGGAAACAGAATCATTACAGCAAATCTACCACATGGATCTTGCATATGCTGAGATGTGGTGAGGACAAAATCCACTCCAGTACTGAGGGAACACCACACTGACACAGGAGCTATCTTTCAATGAGATATTAAACAAAGGTCCCATCTGCTGCTCAGGTTGATGGAAATAATCCCATTGTATTATGTCAAAGAATAGCATAGCAGTTCTCCAGCATCTTAGCCATTATTTATCCATCAATCAATATCACCGAAACAAGATTATCTGGTCATTATCACATCATTGAGAGTTGACTGAGCACATATTGGCTAAGATGTTTTCTATATCGCAATAGTTCTTGGAGACACTCGGTAGACCTGAAAAGTGTAATGTCAATGCAAGTCTGTCTTTCTTAATGCTCAGTCAGCAGTCGCCAGGATCACATGCAAAACTCATGAAGTGGATTTGAACATAAAGCCTGAACTGCTGCATAGCATGTTCAGTTAATCATCTGTTAGTAAGGACAAATTGGTACAAGCTATTGTATTTACCAATCCATATTAAAAAAAATCAAAATTATGCAAGGGTATTTTAATCATTATGCCATACCTGAGGATGTTCAACTCATAAAAAAAGTCACTCCCCAGGAACTATTAAGCTCTACCTTTGCTGCTACAATCAACTTACACATGAGGAAGGGTCATACATTTAAGGCAGAGATTTTTTTATTCCCATTTGGGAATTATTAACTTTGAAAAAGTATCTTGCTGATTCTTCATTCGTCCAACAATTGTTACCAAACATTATTTTGTAAGAAGTGAATCAAAAGCACAGTCAATTTGCAACTAAATAAATGAGCAATAACAAAAGATGTACATCTTCCTATGGCATCATCCTGCCAGAAACAAAAATCATCAGTGGTATAATAAAAATGAAATTATGAATACAGTTTGTCATTACTGCAAGTTCACTTTTTTAATATCAAAGTGTGTCAAAAGAAAATAGACACTGTTTCATGGATGTGTATTCTAGACTTCACATTTGAATGCCCTAATTACATTCTACATTCTTCCAAAATTCTCTCAATTTATTGAAATGTTCAATCCTAGTGTGATATTGTTAACTACTTTATAATCTCATTTATCATCGACAAATCTCACATGTTAAATATAAAAGCAAAATACATCAGCGGTCTTGTGGCACAGTGGTAATATCTTTTTCTCTAGTCCAGATTGTCT